TTTTTTCCCTCCCAGAAAGCACCCCCACACCCTGCAGGAAGCTAGTAAGCACAGCTCACTAGCTCTACCCCCCCAGCAGCCCAGCCCAGTAAATCAAAATTTAAAAAGGTGGGAGAGCAATTGAGGAAGCCTTTCCCAGTCATGCAAAGGAGCAACTTTCAAGCTTTGAAATGCGGCATCGCTTGGGGAAAAAAAGGTTTGGCATCCCCAGACCAGCCTCGATCACTAATTCCCCCCCTCCCCAAGCAAAAAGGCAGGGGAGGAAAACCGACTGGCAGGAAAAGAGAGCCCCCCTTCTCATGCTGGAACGAAGGGAAAGTCAAGCAGCTTTTTACCTACTGCCCAAACCATAGCAACTTCTCTGGGTCCTAAGGTTGGCCCGTGTATTCTCTGCTCATTACCCCCAGGATTTTCACTTTTACCCAATTTGGGGTAATTGACTCCTGTTTCCCGACCTATGGTCTAGCTCCAAGATGGGAAATCTATACCTCTTTGGATATGTTGTGTATTTTTTAAAAAAAACTGAGGTAAGAGCTTGCCTTCTCTACTCAGAGCTGCAGAGGAACATTAGCTAAAGGAGTCAGCAGCAGCGCTCATGGGAACAAGTTAAAGCAATCCTGGAGATTATTTCTCAGCACTGTGAGTGCTTGTGGGCTGACCACAAGGGTCAAAAATTATTAATCAGGAAACAAGTCTTAAACATTTGGAGGTGAGATGACAGAAGCAACAGCCCCTGAATGTATGGTGATACTGCTTTTAGTAACAGTGAACAAAACCTGAGAGATTGCTTCATTGAATAGTACTTAATGCTGTTTTTGCAAGTGGGCATCATTCATCCTTCTAAGCCTCTGCCTTAGGAACAGTTCGAGGGTTCCCAGGGGCAGACCCTTGGAAAAGAGGTTTTGAGCCTTTTCCTGATCCCTCCCATTCAGGTACCATACCTTGCGTGCCTTGAGAGAGTGTCATGCTTCTTTTTATGCTCACCGTGCTCGACATCGCTTGGGAAATACAATGAAGCATGCAAGTATTGAATGTGGGCATCAGGCGGCGCTCCTCCTCTTGTGCTTCTGCACTGTCTTCTTCTTCTGAGAAGAGTGCCCGCAGGTCGGCGGCATGTCTCTTCACCATAGCCACATCACCAGTTGGGGAGCTGGGGGCGGCTAGCACCAGAAGAAAGGCCAGGCCTAGCCAACAACGGCAACCCATTGCAAATTCTGGGTACGCCCCAGGAACAATGCTTCTGCTGTCAAGATGCGAGGGGGGGAGGAAACAGGTCATGCAGCTCCAGCTCGTGTGCCAATACGAGCTGATATCTGCTGGATGAATGCCGAGGACAGCTGCCAGGGGACCCTTTTAACAGGGAGAAAAAAAAATGACCATGAGGCGTGCAGGGGGCTGGCTGAGATTGCAAAAGGCTGAGATTGCAAAAGGTAATCTTCTGTGGACATTGCAAGGGCTAGCTGTTTTAACCCTTTGCATTCATTCAAGGGTAGCAACATGGGATGGTTGAAACAAAGCGAGGAGGGTTTCCCAGTGGTATCTCTGCAGCTTTTCTCCTTCTGAGTCTCCTGGTAAACAAGAAAACAGTAGAAGCCGGCCATGAAAGCTTAGTAGCTGCTCCTTCTTTGTCTGTAGGGCCAGAAACTGGCAGTGTTGGGGGGCCAGCCAAACCCTGTTGCTTCAACAGGGGCATGATGCCAACTTCGGGGCCCTCTCACTCAATGAAACCAGGCAGATCCTGGGCTCAGAGGCACATAACCAAACAGGCAGTGCTAAGTGTAATAGTGAGATGAAAACGGGGCCCACCAAACAAGTCCTGAACCTAGAGGATGAGATGGTTGGACAGTGTCATCTAGTGTGGCTGAGAAGCCCAATTCGAGAGTGACAGTCCCTTCCACACTGAAGACAAATCCAATCTGTCCCCTGTCCAGCTCCCTGATTTTGCTGCTTTCGTAACTGCCTCTTTGCCTCAGCCTGCTGGACGAGGGTCTCTTCAAATTGGGAGAGGCCATGATGCACCACCAGGCTGAATGCTCAGAGGTCAAGGTTTCCCATCTGTTGAGGTCCATTCCTAAGGCCTTCAGATCCCACTTGCAGATGTCCTTGTATCACAGCTGGGGTCTCCCTCTGGGGCACTTTCCCTGCACTAATTCTCCATACAACCGTTCTTGTCTCAGCCTCACAGACAAGAACAGGAATGGAAGCATTTCCTGCCAGTAAGAATGATGAGGAATTTTCTGACATACGTGATTGTGTTTTAATATTGGTGAGAAAGAGATTTTGAAAAACAAATTGCAAATATTTGCAAAAGTGCCTGATTTCTGCGAATTGTCCAAAACTAGGTAGCCTCCTGCTTGATGGAAGAATCTGAAGCCTTGCATGGGTTGTTTGTATCTTTCTTAACAAGCAATCAGACGTATCCTGCTTGCTGTGTGAATGTGTATGTGCGTGTGCGTGTGCGTTTCTTCTCCAAGGGGAAGGAGATTAGTGATATTTGGTGCAAATTACAGAAATCTTGAGAGGGCAAAAAATGAGTCCTCCTCATTTTTAGCAGAGTGGAGGAACCTTATGGGGGCCTCAGAATTCCTCCTCCTGGTGTTTCGTCCTGTCAAGACAAAGAATGATAATTCACCAAGCCCATCCCTGCGGAATAACCAATAAGGAAAACTACTTACTTTTAAAAAGGAACTTCCCAACTTATTCTTGCTGTGCTCTGCCCACCTCTGATGGGGAATGGGGGAACCTTAAAGGTGTGTTTCTTCATCTTGTTGCACAATCCTCCTCTAGTTCATTACACCTGCCAGGTGAATGAATAATCTTAGAACTGCAGAGCGAGAAAGGAAACTATGGGTCAAGGAGGCCCAGTTGGGGAATCGAACTCCCAACCTCTGGCTTCGCAGCCAGAGCCCTAAACCACTGAGCTATCTGGCAGTTCACCTAACCGCTTATTTTGGCAGGCAGACAGTGAGAACCCCCAAGGATGTTGGGGGTGGAGGGAGTGGCTGAGTCTGGGGGAAGCTGGCTCTGTTGCGAAGGAGCCGAGATGTTGGGAAATTACATTATCTCCTTCACCAAACCGAGCGCACTGAAACTGTTTACAGTCTGGCCCCAAATCAAATCGCTTCCTTTTACAATTTGTTTGTCTACTGCACGGAGGGCAAGCAAATATTTGGAGACAAGAGCACAAATAATTTCGCCGGTGGATGCAGCTTTGTGTTTCTTGATTACACGCTTGGATGGAGAGCGCCGCATCATTTGGAGAAAGCCCTATCGATAAAACTGTAACTAATCAAGCCTTGTGGCCACAATCCAGAGCCAAAAGCACCTCTTGATTTCAGCACGAAGTGACACTCTGGGCTGTCTCAGATTTGGATGGTGGGTAGAATGTGATCAGACTGGAACAGTTCCTTTTTTCCCTTGATTTTGTTATTATGTGCCATCAAGTTGCCTCCAACATATGGTGAAGGAGCCATCTCAAAAATGCCTCATCCTCAGCAGCCCTGCTCAGCTCTTTCAAAGCCTGTGGCTTCCTTTAGGGAATCACTCCATCTCATGCTTGGCCTTCCTCTTTTCCTGCTGCCTTCCACTTTTGCCAACATTATTGTCTTTTCCAGAGAATCCTGCCTTCTCATGATGTGCCAAAAGCAGGACATCCTGAATTTCAATATTTTTGCCTCCAGAGGTAGTTCAGGCTTGATCTAGGACCCATTTCGTTGATTATACCCCTCAGCTTGCGTGGCCCCAAAGGTTGATGCTAGGGGCATCATCTGGGATCCTGAAAACCATACTCGGAAAATCAGCTTTCCTAAGCAGTGATTTGAAATGGCATGTTCTTATGAAGGCTATACACATGCTGTGCTTTTATGCAGACAAACTTTCCAAATCCCCCACCTCGTTCGGTCGGTGACCAAGCCAGCTTGGGCACTCTGTAAGTTTTTACGCCCTAAAAAGTAACTTTTCCAAGCAAAGTCACCGAATGGACCTTTCTCTCCATGATTATTATGCAGAAGAGAGCCACACTTCCTGCCTTTTTGCTCCCTTTTTGTCTGGGCGGATTTTCCATTCGAGATGAAAGCCTCTTTTATCACTCGGCATGACGTTATGTGCCTGCCAACATTTTAATTAGAGCATTCATTGTAGTTTTAACTAGCTTTCCAAGGAGGCATTTAACAACTTTAAAAGAAAGGGCTGCTCAAGTTCGGTAATTGTGTTAGTTGGGTTGGGACTGATTACAGTTAAATTAGCCTTTGTCTCCAGAGAGACAAGTAGTAGCTTTGAAAGGAACATCTTGAAAAGCTCTTTTTCCTTTCTAATTTTTGGGCAAACTGGTTTTGACAAGTACCGACTTCAGCTTAAAGTGGGTTGGAGGGAGGGAAGGGCGGGTGTGGTCCTCCAGATGTTGCTGAACTACACCTCCCATGGATCCCAGCGTGCACAACCAATGGTGGTGGATGATGGGAAACATAGTCCAGCAACCTTTGACCATCTGGATGTTCAACACCCTATGACAACCAAGGAAGTCCACGGCAATCAATGAATTAAGACTGGAGAAGGCTTTGCTCCTTTGTTTGCAAAATAAAACTGGGTAGTTTCTAGAATGGCACAGAACTCTTCTCTGTTTCTGATGAATTAAAATTAGGCAACGGTACAATCTCTATTGTATCGGAGACTGCCTGCATAGCTCAGTGGCTGGATGAAGGCAGAGGGCCACAGAAGTGGCCACATGAAATCCTATGGTCACAACACTGTCCACCATAATTGTGAATAAATATTTTCAAATTCAGCACCTTTGGCAGGATGTTCTCCTCCTTAGAGATCAGCTACATTTGCCTTCAAGAGTCGGGGACTTCATGTCCCCTTATCTTCAGATTCACCAGACTTTGAAGTTTGATAATAAAATGATCATGTGCTGTCAAGTAGTTTAAACTACTTCTGAAACCCTTTGCCTGGAAAACTCTGGAAAGGATTGCCGTAAGTCACAAATAACTTGACAGCACATGATCATTTTATTATCAGAGTCTCCACTGAATGGGTATAAAAACTTCAAAGTCTGGTGAATCTGATTATTGCATAGCAATGATTTTCCAAAATGGCCGCCGGGTAAAAAAAATGGCCGCCCGCTGTGTTTTCGCCCGGATTCCTTGCTTACTGGGGAGCAAAAATGGCCACCGTATGAAGGATTTTCGCTTAAAGGTGAGTTTTAAGCCCATAGGAATGCATTAAACGGGTTTTAATGCATTCCTATGGGCTTTTTATTTTCGCATAGTGACAAAATCGCTTTGCAGCGATTTTTGCTGCACAGATTATTGTCGCTATGTGGGGCACCACTGTATAATGATAATTGCTCTTTGGAGCTTGCAGTTATAACTGTAACTAGTTACTTTTTAAAATAATAATAAAACTCTTCAAGTTTTGTCACCAGTCCTTTGCACAGCTTCTTTGCCAGCTTCCTAGATGTTTTCCCTTAAATATTTATTCATTGTGTTGGAAGAACAAGATCTGTCTCTCTTCCCTCTCTGGTCCTCTGGCATTTAGCATACCTGGCCCAAGTTAATCATCATCATCACCATGTGCTGTCAAGGCAATTCTGGCTTCTGGTCAACTTTTTCAGAGTTCTCCAGGTAGAGGAGACAGAAGTGTATTACCATTACCTTCTTCTAGGGGGCAACCCTGGGACTATGAAGCTTGACCAAGGCTACATGGGCTGGCTCTTCTCCCAGGAGACACAATGGAGAATTGAACTCCAAACCACTGAGCTATCGAGCCAAATCTGAAAGAAGTTAAGCCCCATTAAAATTAGTGAGACCAACGTCTAAAGTAAACATGCATAAGATTGCATTATACAGTGGCGCCTCACTTAACGAACGGCCTGTTTAATGACGAATCCGCATAGCGATGTGGATTTTGCGATCGCAAAAGCGATCACATTACGATGTTTTAAATGGCCAAAAATTGCTTTGCGATGATCAGTAAGCGTTTCGCTTACCTATCTTCGCATTGCGATGCTTTAAAAACAGCTGATCAGCGGTTCCAAAATGGCCATCGGGTAAACAAAATGGCCACCCGCAGCGTTTTTGCGTGGTTTCCTCGCATATGGAGGATTTCCGCATAGCGATGAGTTTCCCCCCATAGGAATGCATTAAATGTGTTTTAATGTGTTCCTATGGGCTTTTTAGTCCCGCATAGCGACGGATCCGGATAGCGACGATTTTTTTGG